CACATTCTTTATCTCTTTCTTTCTCCCTCTTTCTGAACGAGTCATACGCAATTACTCTGCAGGTCTTCAATCAGAGCGATGTGCGAATTGTATACTGCAAAAAGTATGTAAAATTACATAAGCAAGATAAAATTTGTACGATTTATAATGAAAACACATACATTCTCTTTATCAAGTTGTATAATTAAAAAAGTAAAATTATATAAACAAATCTAGATTTATAAAATTATACTAGATTAGATTGAAGTTTCAAAGTAAACAGATTTTTAAAACTATGGGATCGTCGCTAACGTTATCGAGCCATTTTCGTTTGGAATAATTTTTATTTTCAATGAATAACAACAACATTTAAATATACATTACGATCGACTAGCGTGAGGTATTCCCTTGTTCCTCTCATTCTATTTGGTATGATCGTACAATAACAGATAACCGCGTTGAGTTTGATAATATTCCAAGCCGCTTTAAATGCGCGTTTATACATTCAGCGCGCCGATAAGAGCACAAGCGACTTCATCGGGCCGAAGAACGACGAAACTACACGACAGAAGAAGACGGTTTACACCTACAGACTATCTACACGAATATAAATATTTACAACGATCTTAAGTTAGTGGTAACTCAACGTGCGAGTCGAAACTGGGAAACACGCGCGTTAAATGAAATTCAGAAAGAAAGAATCTAAACATACAGGGTGTGTCAAGTATCTTAATTCTTATAACTGTAAATTTATTAACAAATTTAATTCGATATTTTAGCTTGAATTTCATTGGACGTGAAATATTATTGATCTCATGTTTTTAACTTAATCTGGCAATCACCAACTAACAGTAGCATAACTGTTAGTTATAATTTCCTATTTAACAATATATACATATGATTTAATTTGTTATGTTAGTGATAAATTATATTATTAAATAGGAATTAATCGAGTTATGTTATTGTTAGGTGATGTTTGCTGAGAAATGTTTTAATTTCAAAATGCTGTGAAAATTTTTTTAATATAACATTAATTGAATATCAATATCTATAAAAAATTTTTATAGAATATTAATTATGAATATTCGACATTGGGACCATTTATCTTTCAAAGTTTGCTAATTAAATACGTCGAGAGAATCTCCTACTTATCGAACAATTTATATATAAGAAAAATTATATAAGAAAAATTGTGAAAATTTTGTATACACCCTGTACGTGAAAGACATGGGTGGTCTACGGATACCATATATACCAGTATCTTTTCCTACATTAAAAGAAAAAGAAATCTGTGGAACCGTTCGCGGGTCGCCAGTGGCATCGAAGGGAAAGGTGGCGGCTAACTGGTCAGGAAATGTTCTACTCCCTTCTCCCGCACTTATCTGATCTAAATTTCTAATTTTACGGGAAACGGAGATATCTAACGACCAGAGAGACTCGATTAACACCGTCGATATACACGACAGACACGGTAACGTCGCATCCTCTCGACACAGATCGTTGTCTCGTCGAGGAACAATTAATTATCTCGACGCCTCGTGACCGAATCAAGAGTGCACTTTAGGAATTGGATACCGTATGCTTTTCAAATCCGACAAAATCCTTTAGGAACGGACGGATCTAATCATGCGGCACAATTGCAATTTACGCGCTATTAAATCTCTCACTCGTGTTCTCTCTGCTTCTAATGTCACGATGCGACCAATTATTCATGCATCCAATAGTAATATGTATGATACGAATTATTTACGGAATTTTGTAAAATATATACGTAAATTACATAAATATCTCGATTTGTAAACACATTACGTTTATCCCCAAACGACCTCATTCTCATTCGCCAATTCATGGTTCCTAATCAAGATTTCATGCGACGCTTACAAGTCGTTGAAAACCTCAGATTTTTTTCTGATAGACAATGAGAATAAATTATGTTGACAAACATCGGAGACCGGGAGTATTCCCGGACTGACAACGATCGTATATGGTAAGATGATACAATTTCGAACGTGGTGTAATTCTGAACAAATTAAGAATTTAATTTTTGAAGTTCAAGTTTGATTTTTTTTGTACTATTGTTTGTACCATTATTTCAGTACCCATCGCACAATGGGAGGGTTTATCAAACTTGAATCTTGAAAATTGGATTCAAAGTTCATTTTGTTCCGAATTATACCATGTTTCAAATTGTACCATTTTGATCTATACGAATTCTGAACGGTACCGATATCTAATGGAAAAAGTGAAATAGGTATACCACCATCGTAAATTAAAGAATAAAGAAAAAAAAAATAATTGTAATGCGCGATAAAAGTTCGACTCGACGTGCAGCGAATATTGTTTTTGTGAATTAGAAGTATACAGCGTCTAATAATATAACATATTTCTATAGACATATACAGGCTGTCCCATTTGTCACAAACATTACAAACATCTGTTTGTTTTATGATAAAAATCTCATCATCATTATTATATATAATATAATATATATATTATATATAATATTATATATAATAATCATTTTTTGTCAGATATTTTATCGCGTTTTCATAAAGGATTGAAGATATTCGTGGGACATTGCTCATATAAACGCATACACAATTCTTATAAAAATCAAAATATTCGCTGAATATTCACAAGAATTATTCCTAAACGTAATAGCGTAAATATTTGATATAAATATATAAGATATATATAATCAATTATGTATCTATAATATAAATACAATATTAACTATACATTTAAAATATAATTAAATATGATTATATTAATAATATTAATCATACGTTTCTACAAATATAATATAAACATTTTTCAAATTATATTTACAAAGAGAAGAATATACATGAAAATCTGCGTGCATATAATAAAACAAAATCTCTCCTCTGCACGTGAAAGAAATGCACAAAAAGAAACCGATTTTGCTGAAGTATTTAAAAATTTAGCTAAATATAGATCTAAAAATAATTTTGTTGGACCATTAAAACTAAATAGGGCGCTCAAGATGGTTACTAGAATGTCAAATTTCTTGCAATATCGCTCATTATACTTGAACGTCCTACATAATTATTTTAATAGTCCAACAAATCTATTTTCATGTCAATAGCTAGTTTATTTTTTAGATACTTTGACAAACCTGCACGTGTTAAAATAGAAAATTTATATTAATGCGTATCAACAACGATTCTCTTGAAACAATCTTGTTTATGTAATTTATTCTGTAGGAAAATAAGACAGACATGTGAGGGAAAGATAATTTTCGAAAAATTTTAACTTCCTGACTAGACATAACAGACTCTTAAGCGCAAATACAAATTATATCAAGTTAATATCTTTTAATTATACTTGATAGCAGTCTGCAACGTCCCTATTTAAAATACTATTGCGCGATTGCATAAAACCTGAAGCCTATCCTTGCTAGTTTTATGTCATTACTAACGTCAATAGTAGCAATTTCATTGTAATTTGCGTTCGTTTAAAGTTTAAAGTTGTAATTTTGCTCTTTATAAATACGGTGTCATATTTCTGTTGCGTCTCTTTCATTTTTAATTAATTTCAGAGTTTTTCGAATGCTGATCTAGCATATAAATGAGGTTTGCGTATGTATTTTGAATTTACTAAGGAAGAAAAAAAGAAAGAATGCGCGAGAAAAACTAAACTATGACTAATAGGAATCTAAGGAATCAAAAATAATATAAAATAGTTATTCAATTATTATGTTTCCAGAACTATAACAATAAACAAAAAGATCCATAAACTTCAATTGAAATTAATTAAAATTTAACTGATTTTTTGCTTTCTTATAATATTGAAATATAAATTAGTGATTGTTTCGCGTAATTATATATGAATATATAAAACAATAGACCGATTTAGTTATAACTTTCGAAATAGTTTTCATGTTGATACCTTCTTCCCCATACTGTTCGCGTTTAACATGCACCTACAAAAAAAGACCTGTGATACTCTGCCTCAGGAATAGTCATAGTAAATGTTGTGTGTAATAACAATTATATTTCATTTAAAATTTATAGAATAATTACAAATATATGATTCTATAAATTTTAAGCAAAATATAATTGTTACAAATTTTCATAAAAATGTATATATTTAATAATAAAAAATTTAGTTTTTTAATTATTAATATTTATTTTAAAAGAAAATTTCAACAATGGCTTGATATTTGGAAGTTACGATCGTAAATTTGTTTGCGTTGCTTGCACTTTTTGCTTTCAATATTTTCGCTTTCTTTCTTTTCAATATACTTACAATTATCTCATTCTGCAGACTATTGGGAC